AGGGGGAGGGGGGGGGGATTACAGCGAATTATAGGCGATTTCCATGTTGAGAACCATAGATATGGGGTACATAGAAGCAGAAACAATTAATTGGCAAAAAGATATTATTAATCCGCATACAGGAAAAAGAGGCTAAAACAGCACCTGGACATGGATGGCTGGTGCCTCCATAAATAAATCATTGATGGTCAAGGTCAAGGCTGTTTACGATGATGATTATGATGATGATGATGATGATGATGATGATGATGATGATGATGGTAGCGATGACTGAGGTAGTTGGAATTGCTTTACTGAGAAACTTACCCACAGATGTGGACAAAACTGCACCGACGCCTTGCCCTATCATCATAACGGTTTGTACGAACTCAGTGAAGCCAGTTCGATTTTCACAGACAAAGTTCCACTGTGACGAGTAAATTTCAGTTTAGATCATTGCTTACGAGCGGTTACCTCCCTTCTTACTAAAAAAGGAAACACCCTCCACCTAAAAAAAAGCTTAAGAACGCCCCATAGGGGATTCGAAAAAGGGTTAGTCCACTCCACTTCCCAGCATGATATTAACTGTTAATGACTATCCCTCTCATGACAATTATAGAATAATTGGTTTTGTAGGTATGCAATGAATGGGAGAGGTTTTGATATGGAGGGTTGTTGAAATAGCGTGATAACAGTAACAAACAAAAGATTGTACTCTAGAAGATGGTTCACTTTAGACCCTCGACAATCCATGGGAGCTATCAATTTCTGCGAATATCGTCTCCAGTATTGATAAAAACTGATTCCTTTCTAAATATCCTTTAGCCCCCCGCCGTCCCCCCCTCAGTAATTGCACCTAACACTCCTCAAAAATACATTGTAACACCAAGCACGCAATAATATGAATGCTGCCAACGGTATTTCATTAAACCTTTCCTTGGTATAACAAATACGGGAGTGGACAATTTTCTTGTTTAAATTAAAAAAAAAAGAGAGCTACATCAAAACCGCAGTGGACGTTTATTGCTACTGTTTAATATGATCAAGTTGATGTACCATAATTTTCATATTTCATTAAAGATATTTTACAATTAAATGCACCGGGGTAAATCTTTAGGACTTTTATTTCTGTTTATCCCAAGAGATCCCTACATTTGTATGACGATTATACAAATTAGAAATGCCAATACAAATTTGTTACATACAGAAGTCCGCAAGAAGCTTAAAAATGTAATCACCCAATCATTTAATTATAGCCAAGCACCACCTACTCACACAGCATATTAACTTAAAGTTTAATAAATTCTGCATCATCTGATAGATTGATATTTCATCTTTGGTAAGAGACACCCGAGATATGGTCTTTCGAAACTGACCTTAAAAATCAGGCTGGACAAAATTGTGCGAAATCAAAGAAATGTAAAAGTGTGTGCACGCGTATATTGAAGTGCATCGACATTGGTGGAATGACAATGTATTAAATATCAAATGAAAAGAGAATATAGTTGTCTCTTCAATGAACAGCATCTTCCAGTGATATTTTCAAACAGATTGGAAAACAGGGCAATTACAAATACCCCGCAAAACCAGGACTTAACATAACATGTGCTCTTTAGTATTATTTTGTTTGTTTCTGTTTAGAAGAGCACGAAACCCTTTTTGCCCATGGACTATGGTATTTAAATGTAGGACATAATCATCTGTCAGTGAGGAATAGAGGCCACGAAACTGCTATGGTTTTGACGGTCTGGAGTGGAATGAACAAAACCGCCTTCGTGAGAATCACCGGATGGCTTGGTTTAGTCGATTACATTGTGCAAGTGCTGGAACGTCATGTCTTGCCTTTATCTTCGTCATGGTGTCATTCGAATTGACATCCCCATATGCAGAAAAGCGCTTTCTCACAGGGCCCATGCCACTAGACAAATCTTGGAAAACCAAATCAAATCAACGTTGGAGTGGTCACCAATAATAATAGCCACCGATATGAATCTTCCATGTCTGTGAAGTCCCATGAAACAACAACTGAAGAAAAACGACTTTGCTCCCACTTCAGACTCTTTGTTTGCAACTCTTTGTGGTATTTGGGATGAAATGACAGATAAGTATGTCCAAAATTTAATAGAGTCGATGCCTAAAGGGTTCGTGCACTTAACAAAACCAATGGCTCCTACTCCTAAAAAAATAACAATGAGGACATTTTAATTTTATTATTAAGTCCATGGTTTGCGTGGTATTTGGGATTGCTCTGTTTTCTATTTGTTTTAACCTATCGTAATAAAATATCGTAACGAAATATTGTTTATTGATGAGACAAACTTATCCATTCAATGCATGTCCATTTTATCAATATTGACACTCCTCTATACACGCGCGAAGGCAATTTTGCTTTTCTTTGATTTTGTATAGTTTTGTCAAACTTGATTTTTAAAAAGTCAATTTTGAGTGACCATATTTGTGTCTCCAAACATAGATGAATTATTAATGTATCACATGATGCAGAATGTATTTAGCTTTAAATTGGTAGGCCGCATGAGTGGGCAGTATGACTATGAGGCTTTAACACCATTATTAGGTTATTACATTTTCAATTTTTATTTGGACGCCGCTGGGTATTGCCCATTAACTCCCCCCCCCCCCCAATCCCCCCAAAAAGAAAAAAAAATCTCTATTGTAAGACAATATCCCATGGAATATGACTACAGTAGTTAAGATAAGCTGATGAAAGTGGAGAGAAAAGATTTTGCAGAATAAAGCCAGTGAATAAAAAGGAGCTAGTAAACGGTCAAGTTTCGACAGAAAACATATTATCCTGAAATTTCTGACAGCACTGTAACATTTCTGAACTAGGCCCAGAGAGTACATAAAGCCGACAGGGAATGGTATGAGCAAAAGAATAACCTGTGTGTACGTTGCAGCAGAGAGAAAGAGAGAGAGAGAGAGAGAGAGAGAGAGAGAGAGAGAGAGAGAGAGAGAGAGAGAGAGAGAGAGAGAGAGTTTAGTTTTAGAAGAGGGTTTTACGGCGCTCGCAACTGCAAAAGGTCATATGAGCGCCAAGGGGTGGGTGTCAACAGAGAAGTATTTACAAGAAATCAGACTTATTCTGCTCACCTCTCTTGTTTCAACAGCACAAAGTCTACTTCGACTATCGAGGCACCCGGGAAATAGCAGGTCACAAGAGTGTGACAAGCATACAAAAGAAGTAGAGGAAATGACAATAGTAAGGAAGAGAAAAGAAAAAGGAGCAGTTCCCTGTTCTAGATCAGGCACAGTTATGAGCGTGACATGATGAATCAGCCCATTTACAATTCTACTGTGCTTGAACGAGAAATGTCCCTCCTTTGGGAATGGCCTAAAGACACCACAGTCAGTGGCACTGCCCCGGGGGAAGAGAGAGACAGGCAGACAGACAGACAGATAGAGAGACAACCAGACAGCCAGACAGATAAACAGACACACAAACAGACAGATAGACATACATACATATAAACAGAAAGGCAGAGAGAAAGAGAGCAGAAATAATATATATATATATATA